CTATCTCAAAGTTTCCTTTAAATAATTCCATGGAATTATACAGGACTCTTAAAGCCGCTAGTCGAACGTGTTGTGACGTGCTATAAATATTGTAAATGATTTCTTGCCAGATATATCCGATAGTCTCTAGAGTAGCTTTTCTCATCATCTCATTACTGGACGACTCGACATTATCGACTAACAATGGAATTAATTCGCTCCATTGCCCCACTGCCAACTCGGTAACAGCAACATGAGCGACGCATTGTGCTGCGGAACTTGGCCTACACGGAAAAAAAACGGTATATGGTTGCCACATCTAAAGAAATAGTAAGATTTGGCGCAAGAATATCTGGTGGTTGTCACACCCATATTGATGTGGTGTCTTAACTATATCATAGTTGCCGCACCACCGCAGGTATCAATTTTCTATGGTTGTCACAACCATATATAGTGTATAGTGATCCATCAATGTGGGTGTGACCACCATAGATATTCCTGCACCAAATCTTACTATTTCTTTAGATGTGGCAACTATACCGTTTTCTCCGTGTATTATTGTTTTCCATTCCCAACGCTCCTAAAATCTGTAAAACTAAATGCATGAAGAACTCTATCATGCGTGAAAAAGAATAATTACCGAATGTACTTAGCATGTCCTTCAATCCATTTCTTGACAGTGATAAATTTTTATAACAATTATTATTAAGTATTTAAAATTTACATTTGAGAATTTTACTTCTTGAGAGTTAAACTGTTATAAAAATCTATAAATATTTTGAACAGATAAAGAGTAAGATACATAAAGATAAAATTTAGAATAAGAGTTAAGATAAAAGTGAGTGAAGATAAAAGTGATAAAGTAAAAATATTTCTGCTTTGTACCTACTTGGAGTAATATACATTTATAACAAAGTAATGTCGTCTCTACGTAAAATCAGGTAAGGCCTGTTCTTTTTAGCTGAGCTTCTTGCACAGTTAATTTTTTCTCTTTTTCTCTCCATCATAAAAAGAAAAAGAGGAAGGATGAACCACGCAAAAAGTTCAGCTAAAAAGAACAGGCTTACAAATTGAAATGCTAATAATACAAGAAAATGCGATAAATATATAACCCTCCTTACATTGTTCTTGATATTTTCCCTCGTTTCAGCAGGAATGGTAAGCCAGCGTTGCTGGTACTGGAAATTCATGTCAGGATCCTCGGAGATAAGTTGGTTTTTGAGCTGTAGACCCGCTACCTTGCGGGCGACGGGGCTCGCACCGACTGCGACCAGCACGGCGCTGAGTCGTTGCACGAATTCATGCTAAAACAGACATATCACCGAATATTGGAATCGAATACCGCTCCTCACATTATTGTCGCACAATCCCATGGTGGCAAAATTTACTCACGAGTGTTCTTTCGGCCATCTGTTGTAGGCAAGCCTGTGCTGACTCGCGGTCGATCTGGTCTAACTCGCGGTCGATCTGGTCTGAAAATGCGACAGGGACATATTAAAATTGCACGTCCACAATTAACATTAAAGAATATCGTTACCGCGGGAATCGCGGAACCGAGCACGTTGCGACAAATTCGCCGAGAACGGCGACGGGCACGCGGTTCGCTCTCGCGTACTTACTCCGAGATCGCCTTGAGACGGTCATCTCGAGGATCTGGATCAGCCACAACATCTCCGGGTCCATATCCATGGTTAACGGCAGATCGCTCACTCTCTCGTTTATAACGTGATACGTCACAGTTCCCGCGACTCGACGCGAGGGGATGTTGAACGTCTGCTCCCTGATGGGAAAGTTCTCGTCGCGACCGGGTTCTTTTATATATTTTATTGGCTCCTGCCTCTTTTCAGAGGACAATACGGCTCGTCGCGACCGGCGGATATCCACGTATATAGCCACCACGCCCAGTGCCCACCACTGACTCATCTCCTTATCTCACTTATCTGCCTTCGACGTTCCCGGCGTTCCCCCCAAGTGACGGCAGTGGCGGGTGGCGGCCCGATCCTCGTCCCGTCTTCTTCGCTCCCGCCGTGGACGCCGGAGCGATTTATCGCTCTCTCTCCCTCGTTCTTTCTCTCTATGTGCTCCGCGTAGTACACACATATCCGTGAGAATAAAATTAAAATTGCATTATTGCGTTATCCGTCAAAGTTTCGAACAGCTCTCTCGATTAGCTCGACGATCAGAATTATCTTTAGCGATTGTTCACATTTGTTTGTTGCCGATGAAAACGTTCATAAATAAAACATTACGTAAAACAGCATCGGCATCTGCACGTCGATACTGTTCGTTCGCGTATTTAAGTTCTAGAAACCGGTACGATGTGTTAAGAGCTATGACCAGGTGTACGCAATTTCGAAGAAGTAAGGATGGGTTAATGTGAAAAATTACCCTTGAACGAAAAACTCTTGCATCGCGGAATTCTTATAGACGAGCGAGAAAAGAGACAGAATTGGAAGGGAGAGACGCGAAGAAAGGAAGTGGAAAACTAACCGGTTCATCGTTTTTAGTAGATTTAATGAAACGATATACAGAATACATTTGCTTTCGTAATGCATCGCAACGCATTCTCGCGTGCCTTACCATCTATATCACATGTCAATTTTTTTTATTTATAAAATATAATCGTCATAATTTCTTTGTTCTCGCATCTTGCCTTTGAACTGCCTCTTCGTCGTACATATCGAAAGTATACACATATAAATATATATATATATTTATTTGTATTTATATATATATTTATATTTATATTTATTTATATATATATAATATGTATTTATTTATTTATATTTGTATTTATATATCTATTTATATATATTTATATTTATATATATATATGTATGTATATTATTCCAAGCGAGAGGGAACCGTGTTGTGGCTCGGTACAGAATTAACAACGAATCAGGCCAGAAAAAAGGTTCCATGAATGGGCGCGCGTGTATACATGTGTGTGTGTCAATATTTGCATACGATATTACACAGTGGCATATTCACGTGATATTATATTATAATATGCATCGCCCTTACGATCGACGGTCGTACGGATGAAAAGATCGACGTCTCGAGTATTCTCCTCTTCGCGACTTCTTTATTGTCAGCCGTCGTAATTACATCTGGCTTCTCTCTTTCTTTTTTTTTTTTTTTATTTCTCATGCATCGATCGTGTAATCACACAGCGAGATCACACAATCTCGCGATGCAATTAATTTTGACTTGTCAAGATATACGGCCGTCGATCAGTCGTTTCCGTCACTTTCTTTGACCTCCCCGCCCCCGTTTCTCTTCGTCTCACGATTAATATATTCGATCGTGTGCATCGCGATAATATGCAGCATATAAAAAAGGGCCGGAGGAGAAGAAATAGATCAAAAGATCTGGTGCTGATTTTGGTGTGAATCATCTTGCGACACTTACATGGACTTCTGTTGGCTGCTACTCGCATTGTCTCTCTATTTGTGTGGACGCATGTACGTTTGTGTTATTAATTTACTAGATTTATTTTCGGTACAACGCTCATCTTTCGCGGTGCATATGTATATGTACGGCGTATATGTTAAGCCCGTATAGTACATTTATCGTACATTTATATACGCGACTTTTTTTTTGGCTGAGCGTGCGGACGTTCGTACGACAGAGTGAAGCGGTAAAAATTAATCTCAGTTAAAGAGAATTTAATTAATATTGCTCAAATTAATATCGTTCAAATAGATTTATCTCGTTTATCATAATTTTTTATATCAAAACTTTGTCGAGTCGCTGAGTTTTATAGACAATAAATTGCAAATTGTAGTGAAAGAGAATTGTACCTGTAAGCTATTCACAAGAAATTACAAAAGCAAACTAGTTGCACCCGCATGTTTTGATCGGTTGAAGACCAAAGTTAATATAATTTTTATTTTGATGAAAAAATACGTGTGCTTCTCTTGACAATAATCATGAAAATTACATCGGGAAAATGAATTGTGCTTCAAATGATAGAGAAAGTTTAATAACTTGCATGAAGAAGGCTTTACAACTTACACGAAGAAAGAGTATTAGAGAGAGAGACTAATTTTTTAAATTCATTCGGGAAGTGTAGGAGAAATTTACATGATACATTATATATTTTTTATAACATCATGATTACCTTTCCATTTTGAGCTCTCGGAGAACCGACAACTTCCGTATAGTTCTTACGGCGGAACACCCTGTACAAACGTCCGCCGCTTTACGAATCGGCGATAGATAATGCCCTCCGAATAAATTCAGTTACGACGTCAATCGAGAAAATAATTTATTAACAAAATTTCGAAGATATATTTAAATAATCTGTTGATCGAACATTTATTGCATACACATCGATGAAACGGGGAAAAAGGGATAGAGATTTACACCTAACGGAATTGACTGTTATTTCGTTACAATAATGACAGATAAATTGATTTAAACAACAATGTCGGAACGAATCTCGTACGATTTCGTCGTCGAGGACGATCTCTTTACTGTTCACGCCCGAACGATCCGATTTTGCCCTCCTATCCCTGCTCCTCTCTTTCTCGTGTTTGCTCCTTTCTCGCCTGTTCACTTTATGACAATTTCTCATAAAAAATAATTCGCCGCAGCGCTGGGTCCAGGGACGATTTTCCGTCGATCAGGAGCGGAAGACATCAGCCTCGCGCGGACTCTCGTTAAGACAAGATATATAGGAACAAAAATACGTTGCACCCCCCCCCCCCGCGAAACCCCATCTTCCGTATAACGGAGGCCGTAAACTCGTCGGGGTTTCCTTCGTTCTATTCGAGCCCTTTGCGAAATTCCGATCTCGATCTGTCTACCGATCTATCGACCGATAACTCCTCTCCCGAAATCACCTCTGGACTCAACGCTATTTGCACGGGCGAGAAAGTCGATTTCTATGTGTTCGAAGATTTCTACATGTTCCATCTAAAGATGAAGACTGATATGAGGAGAAGATAAGGCGAATATCAGGCAAAAAGCGCTCGTTCTCGAGGATTCCAATTCCTACGCCAAAGTCATTTCTTACAAATGTAAAAAATTATTTCCGTGTCAATTATGTATTGCCGCAGATCGATGCCAATGTGTTACCTGATTTTATTATCATTTTAATACAAAATTATCTTTCTTTTTTTTCTAGTTATTTTTATCTCCTGGGATTTTCTCTCACAATTCGCCCTAGCTCGTATCAAATACTTATCCTCGCAACGGACGGAAGGAAACATTTACATTTACGGAGACGTTATTCTGTAAATATTTCAAAGCTCAACGATTAATATACTGTTTCTATATGCCTAGAAATATTTGTATTACGATCTCTCATAGCTAAAGAGGCTTCTCAAAAAGTGTCCACTTTTAGAAAATTCTAAAAAGGCAAGATTTTGTATCTCTAACATTCTTCAATCGATAGCTCATAAACACCTTACTCCTCTCTTTACAAAATATCCTGACGGAATCCATTGGCATCAGTCTGATATCGTAAAGAACCTCCTTATATTATTGCTATCGATTTCGTGGCGCGAATTAGTTTTTCACCAGCGAGAACAAGCTCTTCCGAAATTTATGCCTTCGAACAGGAGCAGAATCCGACGCTCTCGCATGCGTTATCTTAATTTCGATCGCAAGGGTCGCTCTCAAAGCCTTTATACCCTCGGATCCTGTTTACCTTGCATTCTTACCGGGCATTTTGTCTTTTGAACACTTGCACGCGTATCCATCCGCAAACGTGGACGTGTAATGAATCATATTAATGAATAATCATTCGGTACACGGAGAAAACGTTTTTACATGGCAATTTTTTTAAGGGGGAAGAACTTGATATGTCGTCCATTGCGCGTTTAGTATTTTTCGTGTCGATAACGGATTTTACGCCCGCTGGAAACGGAATTGATTTTTTCCTTCGTAAAAAGAGTAATTAGAGCATTGAGATTGATTATTTAAATCATAGCATAGTGATCAATAAACGCGTGACACATACACATGCGATATAAAAGTTATTTCGTCTATATCTGCCAGAATAGCAACGATGTCCATTGCGTTCGCTATGTGTGATAAATATATTATTATTACATTGCAATTTATATAAGGTACACTGAATATTGTTTTCCAATACATTATCACGAATATATTACCATAAACAGACAAATATTTAACATTTTTTAAGTTAAAAGACAGATCTTCAATTTTTCGTCACAAATAGTTATCATATGGCGAACTTTGGATTTTCACAGGACACCGTTCCTGTATAATATTTATTAACAAGCACCACAATTGCTAATTAATCCTTTACGGCCAAAATTATTTTAATGGATTTGCACTCGACAATTAAATATTATTGGTCATAGTTATTATTATACGCTGATCGCATTTATGAAGAGTACAAAGTTACATTAAAAAACAAAATCATTTTCTTTAATTTCCTGATTAATTTTTGGCTAATCTAGATTTATCTTGACGCACAATGGTTATATTTTTCAGACCGCAAAGCATTAAATTTGTTAGCAACAAGGGAATTGAGAAAAGTTTTCCGAAGTATCGCAAAAACTTTCGGAATCGGAACAGTTGAATGAAGGTGAAACCGGGTCCGTTTCCAGCGACAGAAATCGAACGCGAATATTTGATTACTTCTTATTATTAGTTCTTCCGTGCACTGTATCGTGTATCGCAAATTGAGAACATCACGCGAACGATGTCGCTAAACAAAATCTACAGAAGACATTTAAATACGAGGAACCACAATCGCAGAGAGCTAAGTAAAAGGCGAATTCGAATCCAGGTATTGATTCCGCCACGTCTGCGAAGTGTCGAACATTTGCGGATACACACGACTTTAGATTAACATATACACATGTAATTATCATATCTATTGTGCACGTACAGGTAATTAATGTGGTCTTCTTTTATGTATGTGTGTGTGTATGTGTGGATGTATGTATGTGTGTGTGAACCGCGGTAATAAGGACAATGCCTGATCTGTCGTGTTACGAAGCTCGGATCGCGTTGCGATGGCGATGGTGGTTATCGTAAGATTACACAGGCAAAGGTAACTGCGCCTGAACAAAAATAGATCTCAGGATTATCTAACGTAGTCTAAGAAGATAATTAACTGAAGCAACCACATAGCGGTTGAGTCTAAAGCTTACTATTACTTTCATGGACGTTATCTCTCTCGGTAAATAAAAGCTATAATTATAACAGAAATCTTAAAAGCTACAAAAAAGATACAAAAAAATTTACTAACTTTAATAATAACAAAATAATAGAAAATTTTAATAATAATATATAATAATGTCTTTAATTAAGATAAAAGGCGAAATCGAATGAAGAAGTACTTTAAACTTTTTATATTTAAATATATTTAAATATATTCAACATTATAGGTGAAAAATAATCGTGAAATCCCTTTTCGCTCCAAAGCGAAGTTATTTCCCGATGTGTAATCTTACTTTATCTTATGGTACTTGAACGTGGATAAAATATCAAGATATACATCAAAAACAGAGATGCATGTCGACTGCGGTAATCCTGGCGGCGAGGACGCCTGTTTGAGAGCCTCGATCAGCATCCTCTGCCGTCTATCGCGTCGATCGTAGGATACTGGTGCGACGAGGGGCATTTTTAACGACGACGACGACAACGACGGCGAAGCTTACTGTAGCGAGACAATGGTAACACAAGGTGGTAGTAAAGGTAGAGCGCTGGTAACAGTGGTAGTAGTGGTAGTAACGCCATAGAGTAGTAACGCTATCAATGAGTAGTAGTAAGTATAACGGTATAGTAAAGTAGTAGTTGTAGGTTGTAGTAGTTAAGTAGTAGTAGCGGCGCGTTATACGTATATAAATAGGACACTCTACGTTAGTTTGATTAAAAAAGTAAATGTCATAACGTAATAGGTAACTTTAAGCCGGGCCCGTCTCGCCGTGCCGTGCCGTCCTGCAATTCAACTTGTCTCGGTTTCCCAAACGAGACGGGCCCGTGGTTGTTCGCCTTAACTCTCTAAAATCACATAAACGCAAGAGTAGTGGTAAAGAGTCGATCGATATCGACCATGCGCTTCGGACGGCGCTCGAACGACGGCATTGGCAATGCCGAGTTCGTTTGCGAGTGCGTTATCGTAAGAGAAAAAAAGAACTCTACGAATCGCGGGACACGTGGAATCTACGAAGGTCCCATGGTAAAAATGTCTAAAATGCGTTGCGAGGCACTGAAAACTGAAATCGATTTATATATGCGGTATTCCGTTCTCGACATCAGAATATAGAACAATTAGAATAAAGAATGTGCTAACTCTTTCTACTTGATAATTTCTAATCGATCGCTTTTAACGAGGATACTTGAAATTATTTTTGGGTGTACATAATTTAAAATATCTGCAAAAATATCTGGTAAACACTTACGATTTGAGATAACTGGAGATCTGGAATACTTAAATTTTTAATAACATTATTAAAACGTATCTAAAACATGTAAAAAGTGTATATAAAAATACTACGATTGAGATACATCTAGTCGAATGATTCTCAACTTTCCTACATTTTACCATAAACTCATAAAATAATTGTGCCACTCCTAAATTCATTTTCCATTAGCATAGATACCCGAGGGACGCATATTGCAACCCGTTGCAGCTTTTAAATGCACGTGAACTCACAATTTTCGCTTATATCTCAATTTCCACCAGCGAATTTCTCATTTCGATATTCCTCATTGCCTTCAATCATATTTAACTTCGAGAACGCAAAGCGCATGTCATCGGAACAGATATGTCGACAATATAAAATGACAAAGAACAAGTAAAAGAATATACTTAACTTGATATATGTAACATAGAATTATATCGATTCTTGTCATGCATTCGAACAAGCAACCGATGCATCTGCACTCGGCATCGTCCGGCCGTCGAGAGCGCGACCGACAGTCACATCCTACGTCTACTGTCAAGACGGACGGGCGTCGTCCGCCCTTCCCGCCGTTGCTCTGATATGTTGCGAATCGCCGATGCGTTTCCCCCGCGACGGGCAAGGTATTGCCGAAGATATTACACGTGTCCAAGAAGTGGCGGGTCGCGCGCGTATGAATCGTGGGAGCGACGAGGCGAGCCGAGCGCGAGCACGGAGAGCCTCGTACAAACTAGGTAGAAAAGTGAGAAAAACTCGTGCGGAGAGCCTTCTTGCGAGGAGAGAAAGAGGGATTACTCTCCTGTCCACCCAAATCCGCACGAAATCTACTACAGCTAGAAGGGAGAATAGCGAAATCGCCGCAGCCCGCCTCGCGCCCGCTTTCTTTTTCCGCCCGGGTCTGTCATTCGCTCGCGCCTCCATCCATAGCAGCAGCAGTAGCAGCAGCAGCACAACGACAACGGCAACTGTAGTAGTGCACTTACTACTAATAGTGTAACGGCGATGTGTGACACCCGCCACCCGACACGTCACGCATGCAGAGACCTACGTCAAGACATTCTGTACACTTACGTTCGCGCATGATGCATACGTCCGCTTGCATTCACATATATGCACATTCACTCGCTCATACATACGTACAACAAACTTTCCCTTAAGTTTAGCGTTCGCGTTCGCGCGGACAGTTTCCGTCCGCGCTCGCTCGTACGACCAGTAATGGCTCTCCCTCGCTCCTCCCGCTCGACGAGCCCTTTTCAGGATATCCTTCGCGAGACGCGAGAGGATGTCCGATCAGGACGTCGAGAACCGAACGTACCCGCGGGATCGCGCGAGGTTACACGTAAGAAGAGAGTAAAGCTACGTGTAATACAAACTAAGAAGGATGCAATTAGAACGAAGATAACGCAACCGCATGGGTCGGAGAAAGTAATTGTTCTATGTGCTGGCGAGACTGCTCGGCTTGGTTTAGAAGGGCAAACTGCCGACAAACATCGTCTCGATCAGGGGCGGCGCCGGCACCAGGTCCTCCAGCTTGAGGTAGAAGATCCGCTGGAGGCCCTGGACCGAGAGACTCCTCAGCTCCGGTATCTTCCCTAGTAGGTATGACAGGTACTGCGACTTCCTCTGCGCCTCGGCGTTATAGGTCACGTGGTCGCGCAAGGACGAAACAATTTTCATCTGTAACTGTTCCATGCGCTGCGGCTCCTTCAATCCGTACCTCTCTGAAAGTATACGGATCAGCTTGAATGAGATCGCTGTTTTCTCAAAGACCAGATGTAAAATGATCGAAATCCATGAATTGCCAAAATTACCATGAATTGCCATAAATTACCAAAATCTACCGAACAATAATAACATTCCGTAAATAATATTTCCATTCCAGAAACTTAAATTTTACACTGCTTTCGGAAGCCATGAAAATATAGAAATAAAATAGAATAGAATTTTGCGTTTTCAGAAATTCCGATATTGATAATAATTACGGGTTAGAAATTTAATTACTACACCACTAACATTCAAGATTAAGAAACATTGATAAATCAATTAAACTCCAATAATATCAGTCATTCGACCTTCGACACGTAGCTATCTAAACACGGAAACTCTGATTGGACACGCTTGTAAACCGCACACCTGCATGTCTGGTTGCTAACGGATCGCGTGCCGAACGAGGAACATCGTCGTTCCTTTCGTCGGAACATCAATAATTAACTGATCCGATGGATTAATTATTTAACTTGGCCGGTATAACCGGCACACAGGTAAACCGAACTGGATAAAGAAAGATTGAATGCGCCGTTAAAGAAATGGCCAGCAAGACGACAGCGTGACGACAGGACTATAGAATAATTAATATTTACATACAATAGCGAAGATCGCAATAGTGGGGCAATTCGTTCGATCATGAAATCAAGGTAATTATAATCGAGGTACTGACCAGTAACCAGGGTGAGTGCGCACAGGCAGGCGAAGGCGCTGATATCGACCTCCAGGAAGTGGAGAGCTTTGCAGAAGTCGAGAATGCTGTGCAGCCAATCGCCGAAGCTGCGCTGACATTGCTCCAGCGCGAGGACGACGCCGTTGCAGAAGACCAGCTTCGTGTCGTCCGGATTCGTGCGGTACGCCAGCCTCAGCACGAACAGTTCCAGACTGGCCGATTGGAAGAGCAGTTCCTGAAATCAGATTCCGTCGTATGAAATTATTAATACGCCAATGCATTGTTCGTGAGACGCAAAGTACCAAAGGGTATTCTAAAGATAAAATATTTTATTATTCGCGATATTGGACACCCTTCACTTAATCAATTCTCAATATTCAGTTCAGAATACATCTTTAGAAAAGGAATAATATGATCGTATAATTTCATTTAGATGCGACGACAAATCTGAGATAGCAAAATCTCTTCTGTTTATAGCGACATATTAACAAATTAATGTCTACCATTCCTACCGAACGGTCTGCTAGTTAGCCGAGTAACTGACCGCGTCAAAAGCTCGTCAAGACTGACCTTTTAGAAAATGTATGAGCTATTGATTTCTGTAATCGTTAGTTCCCAATAGATATCGTCCGAGAATTGATATCTGACCAGTGATATAATAAAAGCGTACATCTCAATGAGACGGAAACAAAATCAGAAAAAAACGAAGAAAAAAGAACGATAAACTGTCATGAGTCCAAATCTTAAGATCTCAGGACTTTTATCCAAAAATTTTACATAATCGGAATTTTTTTTTCGAGACATCCTTTAAATTTTTAAGTCATGACCTAGATTTTATCTCATTCATCTCTGCATTGTGATAAGTGATCGCTCACCTGATCTTCCCGCACTAGATCCGTGAACCCGGGGATTTTGTCGGCAAAGTTTCGGATAACATCGATCGAGGTTGTCAATAGATTGTAGAACTGTTGGATCTTCTCGGCCTCGGTCATCGGAGGGTCGCCCGGTCTAGGTTGCCGGTACTGTGAGTAATCGAGGCTTGCCTTGTCCGGCGTTGTGTCCAGATGTGCGCGAACTAGAGCGGTGATCAAAGAGACCGGCGGACTCGGTGGGGATTCTTGCGGTGACTTGGGCTTTGAAGGCAGCCTACCTCGACGGCCTTTCAAAGAATCTGTTCTAACGACCTATCGGACAATTAAATAATAAAATAAGTCACAATTATTTTATTTCACATCCGTAATTATCTCGCCCACGTTATAACACTTTTGCCGTTTTTTAAAGTAGCCCTTAGCACAGAATTTAATAATTGTAGGTATAACACTTCGATCATTTAATTCAACTTAAATTTTCATCATTTGATTTAAGGTCAAAGAGTTTGCTTGTTTTATCACATATACCTAAATATCTACAAATTCTCAACATAATATCTTATATAAAGTAACAAATTTAAGAAAAAAAATTTGCCGTATTTTTTGCGCAACGCAGCGACAATGTACTTACTTCCTTGACCATGCCAACCATCAGGCACTTCTGGAATCGGCAAAACTGGCAACGGTTTCGTCGGCGTTTGTCTACCGGGCAAGCTTTCTCGGCCAAGCATACATATTTGGAGCCCTTTTGCACGGTCCTCTTGAAGAAGCCCTTGCAGCCCTCGCATGTGCGTACACCGTAGTGCTGACAGGCCGCGGTGTCGCCGCACACGGCGCAGAGCTGGCTCGGGCTTGGAGGTGCGCGTTCGCCACTGGTACCGCTTCCGGGCGATGGCGAACTGACGGTGGAACTTGCGGTACCGCCGCTGCCGCGCGGCTTCGGGGAATCCGTGCTCCCACTACTGTTAACACGACACAGGACGCGCATTGATCTATAATCCGTCGCTAGTCAGAACGGAAACTCTTCCAAAACTGTCGTGTCTTCGAAACAAGCTAATCGTGAACGCAGAAACCGGAACTCGCGTCTTTCATTTTCCAAGATTTACAGCAAAATTGAAAAGAGTCTGTATTACGTGCTGATTTAGGCAATTTCACTTGTCGTATTACTTCAGAGTTACGTGAATTAAAATTTTTAAACTGGAGTTTCGTTTCCGTGTACTCCGTAAATAGATTTGACTTAGCAAATTGAAATTACGAGTGAACGAAATAATAAATTTAGAACAAAGATCAGATATACAAGATCATGCACATTGCAAATTTCTTGTTTCTCTCACATTAGAACGTCGTTAGTTTATACGAGGAGCGCAATGAGACTTGAAATTATTAATTATTATATTTATTTCATAAAAAATCTTACCTTGCTGATTCTGATCTTTGAGTGGGTAGTGACGCCCTTCGCGGCCGCGTGGTACCAATGACGACGCTGGTATCGACGTTGGGACAGAGATCGGTAGGAACTACAGGAGTGGCGATGCTAGCAATAGCTGATGGTGGCCCGTAAACCATAGGCATGGTGACAGCCACCCCGTAGGATGGGTCCTGCCGATGATTGGGCGGTACAACCGCCGTTGTCGGGGTGGGCGCTGATTCCGTGGGGAAGTAACTGTGATGATGATGCGGAGCCTGATGCGGCTGATGATGCTGCGGGTGATGGTGCGGGTGCTGTTGTGGCGGCTGCTGCTCGTGATAGGGCACCGCGGCCGAGAACTCGGTCGGGTAATGAGGGGTGCAGGAATATACCGGGTTGTCATAGCATTCATCGTCCATCTTAATGCCGAGGCCCTGGAGCTCCTGCCTGGTGTATCGCTGCACCGTGTAGGTCTCCTGGAAGCTCGGCAATGGCGTAGGACTGCAAGCAAAAATCCGTAATCTTTTATATACGAGCCTCCAAAAGCTCTGTTGTCGACAAACTTAAACGATTTTATTATAATATTGATAATAATTTCCTCGCTGTGTTACTGGAGAAATCCTGATAACAAGTTATAATCGTCAATGTTAGAATGTCAAAAGTTTAAGGGTAATTCGCATACCTAAGAGAATCAGCTTGGATGTCTTCGGGGAGGGGTGGCGGGGGTGGGGGCGGTTGCGATGGCTGCTGATGGTGAACACTTTGCTGAGACTGAGCAGAGTCGTCGACCGGAGGCACGCCCTGCGGATTCCCGAGTTGCAGTTCCGGAAAGGGATCCAACTCCTCGGGCAAGCTTCCGGCATCCGTAGTGTCCGGATAAGGGCTATTCAGGAACTCCCCGAAATTGCCGAAGGGACTCTGCAATGAAACATTGCGGCCATATTTATAAGCGATATCATCAGTAATAATATAAAAGTTAATTGTATAATAATATATTACATAATTGTATAAAACATAATAAATAATACATGTATAAAGTAGCAATTTTATCGAGATATTGTGAAAGGAGAAAGTAATTATTGTAATAACAATAATTTATAGTATTAATCCAACAAAAATTTCATGCTACATGAGAGAAAAAATTCACATAATTCAGTAACATAACATTAATAATTTCTCAATAAAAACTTATATCATAAATTTTAATAGTATAGATTCTAAAATGAATAGAAAACCGGGAAACTGAATAATAAAATAGAAAAAAACGCAAACAAAAAAAAATACCTGCGTCGTACGAGTAACGTGAACCAATTTGAACACCATACCGACAATAACTTTGCGAATCTTTTTGTTTTCTAATTACATACCGAACAAACAAGACTCAACTATTAACTTTAAACGCCGTTTTAAATGATGTTTTCCTTTGGCGGAGCCGTCACGGTCTCCGGAGAGCCCGTGCGAGCGGCAAATCGAAGCACCCAACTGCATGGCGGAAACATTGTTCGACCACAATTGCGAGCCGCAGCGTCGAGACATCGATGTACAATCGAGGTGCGCGGTGAGGATGTTCGAGAGAGGATTGGACAAGCCAAGCTCGTATCGCGTGTTGTCTGTAAGCTAGCGCTCGATAGAGACTTAGAGCCTCTCTCTCTCTCTCTCTCTCTCTCTCTCTCTCTCTCCCCCCCCCCTCCCTCCCTGCTCTCCTCTCTCATTCCCCGACCCACTTCAATCATTGATAGTCGATAGTCGATATAGGCGGTAAAACACTATACCAGCTCGCGATTAAATATTCGCGCGGCAATAGGATAATAATAAACGACGATCTGTATTGATACACTTCGTAGATCGACTCGACAAGAAATTATGTACGCTGAGATACTCTAATGAATTACTCAATCGGCCGTAAAATTTTCAAACTGCGGACAAAATTAACGACGGAGATTTATCACGTCAGTACGACGCTCGAAGCGATTGGTGTAATCATATGATAATGCTTTCCCTCTTCGCTTGCGAAATGGATTTGATTTATTTCGCATAACTATTGCGTTCTCTCAATTATAAGTTACAAAAAAATAAGAATATGATTAAAATCAAACAGTTCCATGAAAAATGTTTATTCAAAATTTGCAATTTAATTCTAAAGGAAGAGAAAAGATATTCAAATATCATTTTTGGTACTCGCAAATGTGCAAATGGCACGTTATTTAGTCACTGTTCGAAATAATAATTATTTTTCTCAATGACTAAAATGTAGCTAAAAGAGATCCACATCGTCATTAACAAATTCGCGATCTGGATTAAAAAAGATCTATTTCAAAATCCGAGAACGAAAAATGAAAATACCGCAGGATATCCTGTGGTAGGGAGTGAAGAAAAGCATGATGAGGAGGAGGACGGGGCTGGTGGAAGAGGGTGGATATTCAATTTGCAAGTGCCGGTTCCGCTTCGAGCTGACATTTCGCTCATCGCTCCCTCGAGGACCAGCGATCGAAGCCTCGTCCTTCCAGACCGTGAATAAATGGCCTGCTAAACGGCATCCTAAAAGCACCCCTCCCCTCCTCTCTATTTTCTCCCGCTAAATTGTCGAGACAACCTCTTATTGCTCCGCTAATTCCGCGGGCACATTCTCGTTTTAGCGATTAATTGACCGCGACGTCTTTTCATCCGTCACGGAAAAGAAGTCGGAGAGGAGATACGCGAGAAAAGGGAAAAGAAAAGAGAAACAGGTAGAACGGCATCCAGGTATATGGAATGCAGATTGTGCGTGATGCGTGCAGATGACGATCGTAGGAATGTGGGAGAGTCTTGTTACCGAGGACCTAAGTGGAACCATCGTGGAATTCCAGAATCCGAGAGATCGATAAGAATTGGATTTATAAAATCAGATCGCGACACGATAATTTCAAACTGGTTGCGCAGAGGCAAATTTATCCAAAAAAGTGCATGGTTGGCAGTATTTCAGTGATAATCCACACGGTTTTCACGGTTGATAGATAACGCTACTTTGCTGCGATATGAAAAATCGTATGATAAGAGAATGATGTATGAGAAGAGGGAAACGGTTTATCCGTTATCGCGGAAATGTTGCGAAGAAAAGAAAAGATCTCACTAGTGATAAACCTTAGAGCTTGAATTTCTAAGTAATTTGTAGGATTATTTTTTACAAAATAATAAATTCCATTAAATTATATATATCTATATCAAATCAAAATAATTTTTAATTACATAATGTCGAAGATTATATATTTCTATAAATTATGTAACTCAACCGGAAAAGTACATGTCACAGTAATAAAAATTTATTTTTAAATCGACTGGAGATTACTTGCGCGGCACGCTATTCCTAGACTTTTTTTTACTTTCTTTGAGGAATATTATCTACATATCCATATTTCTCATAAGACCTTCTTAGAATTATTTATGAAAGACGAGATAAAATATGAGCATTTACACGGACGAATATTATTATTACGTAAAATTACAACTTGTGTTGCATCACGTGAACATGCAAGCGCGAGGCTTAACCGATCCGTTCAATCGACATAGCTATGATCACAAGACTCACAATGCGGACGACATTTTAGAATGTCGACTGATTTTATGGATCCCCAAATTTCACTTTACCCTCAATTTTATTTATCACTAAAATACTCGTTTTACTCTTCATTTTCCTTACCTTCTTCAACGTCTTCGCAATTTATCAAATTCTGATTTTAATTTAATAAATTTAATTCAAATTTAATTGGAGAACTAAAGATAGAATGCATCATGTGTGTGTGTGTGAGAGAGAGAGAGAAATAAGGAAATGGAGCTCACCTGTGTCTGCAAAAGTAGCATGCTTGATGCCACTGTGAGAGCGGTCGTAGTCGTGGTGATGGACGATTGATTAGTGCAGGCGAGAACCGGAACGGTAGCGGTCGCTTGACGTTGCTGCTGTCGTTGGCGATGTAGTTGTTGCTGCTGCTGCTGCTGCTGCTCTACCTCGCTACGAATAACAGCCACCGCACGTTGGCTACCGTTGCTGTTGTCGCTGTCGCCGTTCGGCGAATGCAGTTGCCCTGCAACACCCAAATGATCACTCTCGGTTATTTTTTTATATTAGGCAATCAATATCATTTTAAGCTAAATTGAAGTAAAGAAGAATAATTCTGATAAAAATATAAATAAGGAGAATGACGGCAGACGTAAAAATAGAAGGTATTTCGAGAAGGAATTGAAAAGGAATTAAGAACGATATTATTGAAGGCTGTTATTCCGTTTAATATTGGCGTAGTATAATAAGGTTTTATTACAAAAATCCGATTTTACAATTATTATTTTTAGTAATCAGTATTTAGTCAACATTTCTTACAACTTTATCTAAATATACGTGAAATGTGCAAGATACGTAATATATAATGCACGTTTCTCCAATAAGAGACTTCGAAACACTGGTAAGTTGATAAATAATGCCGCATACGCGCGTCTATCGTTAAATGTTAGTATATGGAGCACAGACTAACATTATTCATTATGCGCGAAGAGGCAAAAATGGATCGCAACCTCGTTTCTCTTCGTGCGAGAAAACTTTCTGATATGTCAATTTCGAACGATACGCCACGGAACACTTTTTCCATCGCAAGAACGCGGTTAATATTGATGTTTAGCATTCTGTGTGGCATGCATATTGCACTTCCGGTGCGCGGTACAAGAGCGGCGCATTAAGTACAACTCGGTCACTCTCCGACGTTTAAATCTCCGCACGCTTTAAAATCGATTTCGAAATATTGTTATCTTTCGCAACATGGCACACAATTCGTAAAGTATTCTTCTCTCAATTTCGTGTTTTATAATCTTTCCCTAAATGCTTATTTATTCATATCAGCGTAATAAAACTAGGCAACAAGCATATATTTCAAACACATAATTTTTTAAATCAGCATCAAGACACAAGTCCACTCTGAAATTTCGATGCAAAATCTTTGAGAGAGATTGAATATTTGAAGAATATACGTACAGTATCTATGATACTGCGAATGTCCATCATCCATGGTGATCATGTCTGCATAGATTACCGCGACTTAGAAAATTCTACTATTACGACGACGAGTATTTATTACTTCTTAGTTAAATCTTCTAAAGTTTATGACCAATCGAAGCAAGCCTAACGGCACGCGCATCAACGAGAGAAATTTCCGAAATCACTTTCACTACGTTCAAGCACGATCAAGAGATTTTTGCAGTGGATCAGATTAATCGGTGAATTCTCGTCGTCGACTGAGCACTTGAAGCGTCGTCGGGACGTCCTATATAGGGTGGTCTCGAACACCCCGGGGAGACATGAAATCATTGGCATTTAAAATACTACAACCCCGTTCTATACAAACAACCACGCGCCCTACCTCCCTTCCCGATTATTATTACGCGATATTATCCCCTGACGGCCAAGCGATATAGACAGTCTCGTACGAGCGACCACGCTTTTGCAACAGAACATCGATAAGTAGACACTGCAGCTTTCTCCGCATAATTAGTAGTACCTAATTAAAAGTTCGCTGGCAATCAAGAAATTTAGCAATTCTATAAATCTCTCTTAGAGAAATTCCGCACTTATATTTCAATTTACATTTCTGAAAAATATCAAAACAAGAAAACTAATTTCTCCGAATTATAATGTAATTCCTGCAGTTTAATTTTAATTATAAAAATGTATTATAACAAAATAATTAATATAGAAAGCTTTATCAGAATAACAAATAATCCGATAGAAAGTTCACAGTGTTGTTTAATTACAGTTTTAATGATGATTCTCATTTATGTGCCTTAAGTCACTTATTTGATTGCAAGAAACAACGGGAATAGAGTCAACGAGAGCATGATTTATCGAATCCAACCAGGAAGGGTTTCGATACGCAAGTAATCCGATACAGCCGGATACGGGGCGTCCCGGCGCATCGAGATGCCACTCGTCGATAGTCACGGGCATCGAAGTCGCGTTCGATTTAATTTCACGATCGTACCACGCCGAGGACCACCCACCGCGATCGCGAGGCATCGGTCATAAGCGATTTCACCGTGACGCCGATCGATTCTGCAAGGGGAGTGTTGTGCGCGTGGAAGAAGTGACGATTAGACACAATGGACCGGCTGTTAGAATGAATTAAACGCGCGCGTGAGAGGAGGGAACGAGCTTATTGTCATCCGCGAAGCCGTCGTCAATCGCGAATGAGGAAATCGGCACTATCTTGCCGCGACCGATGAAGCATCGGTTATGTTAGACTCCGGCAATCCCCGTTAATTATCCCCCGAACCTCGCGTGAAGTGAAAATGTGCGATTATCGATAGAGAGATGTGGGTTATTGAAAACGAATCTTTGAAATTACAGGAATTTACGTGCGTTAGTGTATGGAGAATCGCTTATTTTAGATATTTGCTGGCACTGTGGGAAACATAGGTGTGCGGTAAATGCAGATTTCTCGTCTAATTGTCTAGCGCAAACATGATATTTTATTATCACGCAATTGACTTGTTGGGCGCATAACATAAATAAATTATATAAAACACAGTCACATTTTTCGCAGATAAATTATTACAGTAATTACTTTAATATCGTTAAATTTTTAATATATAAAAATATATATTCACGAATAAGTATGCATTTGTATTTAGCGAGTTAATTAATCTGTCGAAAGAAAGTCTATACTATTAATTGATCTGTAAGAAAGGTAAGAATACGTTGTCGTAAATTCTAGTTGCTAGTCTAATAAAGTTTTTGTTAATGGAAAATAAAGCAACTCGATCGGACCATTCCTGAAATCGAGAATTCTGGATTACTAATAGCGTCGTAAACACCGACCTGATGCAATTAGCGAGACTACCTCTTGATAGTCGCGTGCTTCGGGGAACTAAAAACACTTATATGTTCTCGCTGCTATAAAATACAATGTCGTTATCGCCACACAATAAATTAGCCGATACCAAGAGACCGTCAACCCGTAACTTGTGTTACAGTTACAGTTAATTGAACGCCGTTGTGTGCCTTGTTCGCGATTATTTTTACGCGCGAAAATGGCATTTACTTAATAGTCTTCGCCCGAGGAGATACCATAAAATCCACGATTTAAGATTGCATAAAGGCAGAAATGTGCAATTGCTCGCAATGTCTTATCTCCGAGAAATATGATGGAAGTAAGCAGGGATTATATCGCAAGCAGAGAAGTACATCGTAAAAGATGCGCTAAATACGAGTGCATGTAGTAAATAACTATAATTACTTTAAAATACATTATATTAATGATGTTACTACAAAGCGTTAAAATGTTAAATTGACAATTTTATGGAAAATAAGAGGAATAAGATTAATTATTGGTTACCTACATTAATTTCTTAACTCGCTAATTCCATTAAGTTAAATGTGGCGCAACTTCTATCTTGCAAATTATTCCAAAAATATAAACAAAGAGATATTATAAGCCCGTCGGATCTTTCGCTCCAAATTTTTTATTAAAGACTCCAAATGTTTTCCCATCTCGACTCTGGATCGCGCGCCAACGGGCCGCATAACGGATCCACGTGCACGAAGCAATGGAAACGGCGGCGACCAACACGCGCGGCAGCGCCGTAGGCAGGGGTGAATGTGCGGAAGTAGAGAGGCAGGGAACAGAGTAGGGTAGCGAACGGGCCGAGAGAAAAGAGTAGGGCTTAGCAGAACACCCGTGTACCAAGTGGATTGCAGCGGTCTGGTGTGCAGGGCCCTCCCACGAACCACGCCTCTCCACGTGCCACCACGTGCACGCTCGTTCGCGCTCGACTCACTCGCCTCGCTCGCCTCGCTCGTTTCCTTCGTACCGCCGGCGCCGCGCCGCTTGTCCGCGACTTCCTCTCGTCAATCGCACATTCCTTCCTCCCGCTCTCTCATTCTGTTTCTTTACCGGTCCCTTCTTTCGACTTCCCTCACATCTCGCGGCCTTGCCTGCGCTCCAGGAAAACGAAGATGCGCGTAGACGAAGGCGACTTCCGCTTATCTCACGTATGTATCGAATATAATTCGAATACATTATCACGATAAGAATTGTGATTTGAATTCTAACAAAATTAAAAAATCTAGTTACTCGTGAAAGTAGAGAAATACATAAATGCAAAGAGGAAAGGGGTATAATTTTCTGATAATATTTAATGATTGATACATTTATTTATTTTATATTTAAAAAAATACTTTTTATATAAAACAATAATTTGGTTGAACGCGCGCGAAAGTATATAGCTCTTATGTATTGTCTCATATTTAAATGTAACTGCAATGAAACAGAGAAATTAATTATATGTATTACCGTAAATCAATTATTGAATGTATGTTAATTGCAGATAAATAAAATTCGTTGCAATATATATTGTAATTTCGATATAAGATGCAGTCACGCGACAATGTCTTATTTCCCGAAGCATCCCGGTGACTTCAATGCAAGCATGAGAAACGTCGTGTGCGGATTACTCTCGCGAGACTCTATACTTAACACGACTGATAAAGGCAAATATTATAAAAAATATATAAAACAAACCAAAAAATGTATCAACAATGGATTTGAGCAATATGTTCTTGAGCTAAGCATTATATAGACTTTCTCCGATCGACCGCGCGAATATGGAAGAAGACCGTGCGAATAGACGTTTTACACGTGCACAGATTTAGACGAATCTTAGTTACAGCATGAAATTATATCCGCATGCTATAATATTGTGGATAGGCAGAGAAATGAATAGAATGGCGGGGTGAGAGGGTGAGGCGGGATAGTGAGGGAGTGAGGGAGACAGAGAAGCCGTGTATTGCTGAAGATTGCTAAATCAGGGGATCGGTCCGTTGCTGCGAGGATCGTAGCTATAATTCCGTTTTGCGCTTATGTAGCTACGGGGATAATTTCATCCTTAGAATGATTCTAGTTGCCATAACTGGTAAATTACCGTGGAGCGGATTATCTCTAAGAGCCACGCGGACAAGCGTGCGCATCTTAAAGCGCCCGCGCATTGCGCGGGCAAAGAGAAAGGCATATTGTTGCTGATCGCCAAGTAACTCCCGGGAGAT